TGCTAGACAATTCCGGACGGAGCCGAAGCCGCAAACCCAACAATCAGACGAAACGACAGGCGTCAACAACAAGCCCAAAGGTCCCAGATAAACCCCCAGGTAAACATCCTACTAATCATTCATCTTCTCAAAAGGGGAGGTGATATGTATCCACATATATATATTTATGTGTGTGTGTGCATGTTGGTCTCTCTTTCTGTTTGCTCGGTTAGTCTGTGACCACTTCACTTGTATGAACCTGTCTCCTTTAATAATGTATATTCTCCTTATATTATATTATATATAATATGAGTGTTTGTTGACAGTCCGTTGCTTGGTGACATATATCCATATATGTTTGTTGGCATGTCTGCTATATTCGCTATGTATAATTGGATCGACACTCCATTATAATTAGCCATTCATGTTAAGACTGTCTAATGATTTTTCCCACGCTTGTCTGAATTATTTATATATATTCGCATTCACAATTTGTGTGAACTACTTTACTTTACAACTACTTTACTTACTTACCACTTTGGTGTGAGACCATTTATTTTCGTCTCCTTGTGTTTGGACAATAGAAGTATCATCGCAAACCTAGTGGTCTTCTGATTTCCGCCTTCTCGCGTCAGGACTATTAGTTTCTCGACCAGTCCATAACAATAATTCAGCGACGAGTACATAACAATTTGGCGACGGGAAAACTAGTACATAACAATTTGGCGACGGGGAAAACTACTATTAACCACACAGCAGCAACAACATAACAATTTACTATGGATCCTATTAAATTGGAATTATTGTTTGAACGACAAATGAAATTAATGGAAATGTTCGTCAACCAACAGACTGGTCCAGCTCCACCTTCAAGCAATCCCAATCATACCATGCTACCATCTGTCGACGGAATTGTGAACAGCATTTCACAGTTCAATTATGACCCAGAGGCTAATGTCACTTTTGACACATGGTATCAACGTTATGAGGATTTATTCACTGTTGATCTCGCCTCACAAGACGATGCCTGGAAGGTGCGAGTTTTGCTACGTAAATTGGGTCCGGCAGAATATGAACGGTACTGCAACCTAATTTTACCACAGAAACCACGTGACAATTGTTTCGATGATACAATAAAGTTGCTGCGTGAACATTTTGGAGACCACTCCTCATTATTCAGCATACGTTATCGTTGCCTCAAGCTGGCAATGAATGAAAATGATGATTTTCTTACTCACGTTGGCACAGTCAACCGAGAATGTGAGAGATTTCGACTCAGGTCCTTAACAGATGATCAATTCAAAGCCTTGATTCTCATATGCAGTCTCCAATCTCCTCGTTTCACAGATATCCGAACTCGACTGCTCAATCAGCTAGAACAAAATCCCAAGTTAACATTACATGACATAGCTGATGAATATCAACGGCTGATTAATCTGCAGAAAGACACACACCTGGTCGAATCAACACCTTCGAGAAGCTCTGATATTCGTGCATTACGCAAGAGCAAAAATCTCTCATCATCTACTCCTGACCCACCTACTTCTTCTAATGTCCCGCGGAAATCTATACATACTCGTCCAACTTCTCATAATACTGCAAAGAAGACCCCTCCATCACCATGCTGGCATTGTGGCGCGTGGCACTTTGTAAAGTCTTGCCCATACAAAAATCATCGTTGCAGCAAGTGCAAAATCATCGGTCATAAAAATGGGTTTTGTCAGCCACGCCAACTCAGATGTCATAATCCAGCGAAAACTCAACAAAATGTCGGTCCTAAATCTCCAAAAAGATCACTGAGTCTACGTGCAACCTGTCAAGTCACAACACCAGCTATGCGGAAATATATTGACCTTCAGATGAATGGTCATGATACTCGTCTGCAGCTAGATACTGCCTCTGATATTACTGTTATATCAGAGAAACTTTGGAATTATATTGGCAGACCACCTATCACCAATACTTCCCAGTCTCTTCTCAGCGCCTGTGGTGGGCGGCTCAAACTAATTGGTGAACTCAAATGTTCTGTTTCCTTCCGCAATACCAAATTCACAGGAATTTGTTACGTCACGAAGAATGATTTAAATGTTTTGGGACTTGATTGGTTCGATCGTTTGCATCTGGCTGATGTCCCACTAAATTCTCTACGCAATGCAGTCAAGAAGCATAAAATGCTAGACGATTCCGGACGGAGCCGAAGCCGCAAACCCAACAAACAGACGAAACGACAGGCGTCAACAACAAGCCCAAAGGTCCCAGATAAACCCCCAGGTAAACATCCTACTAATCATTCATCTTCTCAAAAGGGGAGGTGATATGTATCCACATATATATATTTATGTGTGTGTGTGCATGTTGGTCTTTCTTTCTATTTGCTCGGTTAGTCTGTGACCACTTCACTTGTATGAACCTGTCTCCTTTAACAATGTATATTCCCCTTATATTATATTATATATAATATGAGTGTTTGTTGACAGTCCGTTGCTTGGTGACATATATCCATATATGTTTGTTGGCATGTCTGCTATATTCGCTATGTATAATTGGATCGACACTCCATTATAATTAGCCATTCATGTTAAGACTGCCTAATGATTTTTCCCACGCTTGTCTGAATTATTTATATATATTCGCATTCACAATTTGTGTGAACTACTTTACTTTACAACTACTTTACTTACTTACCACTTTGGTGTGAGACCATTTATTTTCGTCTCTTTGTGTTTGGACAATAGAAGTATCATCGCAAACCTAGTGGTCTTCTGATTTCCGCCTTCTCGCGTCAGGACTATTAGTTTCTCGACCAGTCCATAACAATAATTTAGCGACTAGTACATAACAGATAGCCACCAAGATTCAGTGAAAAAATATCAAACCAAGAATTTAGAGAAATGAAACTTGACTTGCGCCGAAAAAGATACTCTACATGAACTTGAACTTCAAGGGACGTTTAGCGAGTGATATTCTCAAGAGAAGGATCACATCATCTCTGAGAAGAACATTCTTTGCAGCAACGCTAAGAATAGTGTTCTCCAGTGGCCCACTGATCTGCAGAAGCCATAAGGACAAGATCCCGCATCTGACCACATCTATGTGCATATATCAGTTCACCTGCTGCTGCGGAGCCAGGTACATCGGTCGTTCGACGCGCACACTGTCCAAGAGGACTCAAAAACACTATCCAGCGTGGTTGCGATAAGGCGATAGTGATGATATAAGGAGTGCGATAATTGAACACCCGGTTAGAACTGATCATCCTATCTCAACAAACGCCTCCTTCGAAGTAATATACTGAGTCAAGGATAACCTACCAAAGGCAATACAGTTTCGTCTGCTTTGAATCGTTAAAGCTCTAGCCATTCACATAGAAAAAGCGGAGCTGTGCATACAAAAGAGAATTACTCAACCACTTCTACTGTCATGATAACAACTTTGTTGATTTTCGGTGACTTAATTTTTTTTTGTTTGCCTGTTCTTTAATTGCTTATAATTCTTGTATTCATTTAGAACTCTTACATAATTTCGTATTCTCTACATTGTTCCTATGTGTGTATCCTGAGTACAACTCAATCATCAAACTATTCGTATTATTGCATAACTTCTATTTTAACGACTCTTTGTGACAACTTATCACCTTTGTTACTACACTTGTTTCACTAACACCCAATTTTCTTGACCGTTTTTTGTAATATACAACTCTACCCAAAACTTACTAATTTTCACCTGTATTTTTCTTTGACAAACTTAATGTACACATGCAAACAAAATGACTCATATATATATATATATATATATATATATATATATATATGCTATTGTACAGCTAAGAAAATGAATTCGACGCCGAAAAGAGACTCTTCGCTGAACTACGTGTTTTATTTTCATTAATAATATAATAATAAGATAGTTGGTTGGTAATCATCAGAAAGCCTTGGAACTTAAGTTTCGTGCTTGTTGGCAAGGCAAATCTGCAATCTTGAAGGAACTAATAACAACACTTCAAAGTGTACCGTGTTAGCGAGCCACCTGGTGGCATGGTGACCATATTGCAAAAATTGATTGATAGAATTCAGTCTACACCAAACAATGGACTGGACGCATGACACTAGACACTGACTACCCAGTGTCTAATCTGAGGATAATCAGTTCAGTTTAATAAGAGAATCTAGTATCATCATTAGGGTGAATATTTTACTGGTATAAAGCCACTCAAAAACTACGTTTACTTTGAACGGCATAGTCAATAATGACACCATTATTCTACAGTGGTTGTGATAATACTACCAGACTACTGGAAACCTAGTGGATGAAGTCAGAAGCATTTATGCACGACTCATCAGATGAATATCTAGTCATTTAAATAATGAGTCATCATAATTCCATGCAGTGGTCATAATTCTTTTACTAGTATAATAAAAAACGCTTTATTTTGCAGTTTTGATAAAGAAATTCTGTTGGAATTCTCTATAAGTATAAAATATCTTTGAGAAAGTTTGTCAATAAATTTTTGAATTTATTTAAAGTCATTATTTTTTTAAAGTATTGTTTTTGTAGGGATTTTTGTTTGATTGCATAGAGGATTTCATCATGAGCTGACTGACATCAGTTAGGGAACCACTGGAAAACATACAGGGAGTACTGGACAGCTGTTTCATCCTAGTTTGGTAATCAACGGCAGTACGCACCCACTGCCAAGGTTTAAACCCAGGACCTTTCGGTTACAAGGCACGCTGGCTAGTATACTATTCAGCCACTGGGACCCGATATCAATCCGTGATCAACTTGTAAAAACAAAACTAACCCTTACAAACCAAATATAGAGAACTTCTAATTTCTTCTTTTTTTTTCGTTGTACCCTTTGGAAAATGAGGTTACTTATGACGATATACTGTTGTACTGCATTCACCACAGAGTCACCATTTCTAACACTTATTGGTCAATTTCAATTAGTCAGAGCGCTTGACGATGATAATAAAAACAACGAAAGAGCCTCAAAAAATAAATAAATAAGATGGACTTACACGCAATGTGAATAAAGCATTCGGATTCTTTTCAACAGCATATATACGAACTTTACATTGAGCTTTTTCAGCTGCATTGATAGTTGCATTGACAAGTGGACCACGACCAGCGCCTAATACCATTACAACTTGACGGGTGGAAGATGAATTGTTAATATCATTGGTATGAAGTTTATTGACTTCAGGGCGTGATTGTTCTTGAACTCCATTCAGTTGACATTTAGATGATCGATCACAAAGGGCTTTATAAATTGCCTGTATCAATTAGAAAAGGTGTGTTCATAGTATAGATTGACAGGAGAAATGGCAATTAAAGAGATACATGTGGCTTAGACATTCAGTTTTCAACCAACAGGTTACGAGTTCGAGTCCGACGCCTACTATTTCAGCTTGGGTTACTGGATAGATTCATTAGCCTTCACACGCACACAATAAGTCTGATTCACGGCCTGGTACTTGTAAAATATGTCCAGAGTAACTGTCTTATAACGACATGGGCTAATAAAGTTGCGTTCAATAGGATGTCACAGTAAAAATATGACACGGTGCAGTTATTTATTTTTAACTTTCGTTTATAGTTACCCAGCTACCCACAAAAAATTAACCACTTGATGGGAGATGAGTCACACTTATTACATGATGGCTAGTTATGCTACCCAGTTGTCTAGAGTGAAGCAGGTGGGACGAGATTCGAACCCGGGGTTGATTGCCTGGACATCGAGTATGTAAGTCAAACGGTCAAATTTCCAATAAAACAGTACTCTGGAGGATGAAATCTTCCTAACTCTCACCTATCTTAGATGTAAGATGATGATGACATAAAGACTTTAAATGCTCAAGTCAATTAATTTAATTTGACGGTTAGCAGCACATTAATTGTCTGGACGGGGAGGAGGGAATGTGGATATTATGAATAAAACTTTGACGGTTACTGGGCTATCCAAACCATATATGAGAGGGACGGAAAATTATAACACACCGAAAGGTAATTTTTTTATTCCTTTGTGTTCCGAGTGGAACAAAGGGCTTCAAGCTTGAGCTGTGAAGTTTCAGTAGGAATGCTGGGCTGCTAACCTCCCACCCAATCCCACTCCTCTTTATCAGGCTTACTACCGGACTAAGTGAGGTTTAGGATTGTGGTGGTCGGGAATCGAGCCTCCGACGATGTACGTCGTTGGAAAACATCCTATCATTGAATCACTGACTCACACCGGCAACATGCCTAATTGATACGTGTTACAGCCCTATGTTCCACTAGGAACCCAAGGGAACATGATAATATAATAATACAGTGTTCGAGCCCGTGACCTACTGTTAAGTAGACGAGAGTCTAGACCACAACCAGTGATTACTCACTATGAATCATACAGTCTTGTGGAGCATCATTAGTAAGCTCAGATATTATCGTGTGGTTTAGTCTTGGATTTTAGCACCGATCCATGTCTGAGATATTCTTTGCTTGTTTGAGTGCAGTGAGACCAGCAAGTTCACGTCCATATTTAACTCAAAAATCATCAGATAAAATGATTTCTAATACTTACATCTTCATATGCTTGGTATTTAAATGGATCCATTTCAAATATAGAGTAGGTTGTTGATGACAAATTATCACGAAGAGGTTGCAAAGGTTCCTATTAATAAGGAGATATACATGTGATAAAATGAATCATTAGCTTTCTAATACAATCAAACAGTAGTCAGTGTAGTGCAGATAAACACAGCGTAGCTAACAAATACAAAACGATACACATAAAAAAACTTTGTAATAATCACACCAAAGTGGGGTGAACTCCACAGGAATGAAATAAAGATAACGAAATCACTTATGGAAGTGGGTGATAGATCAGGAAAGCTTCGTTTACTTATAGAAGTGTATGTGCGATTATTACTTCCTGGCTGGCCACACACTTTGAGAGTTGATTCCTTCTTGGGGCGCCTGAAACAAAAGAAGCATTAGTATGTTGCGTGACCAAAAAGCCCAGGAGGCAAGTGTTTGCGGTCGGTCACATACAGCCTATCTGAATTGAGTTTTTAGAGTTATGTCCATATTAAGACCTAAGTGCTGTTTACGGACCATCACAAGGTAGCTCGGGATGTATAATTTTCGGGGTCGACCTTTTTTAACGCCACGTTCTGCCACGGACCAGAGAGGCAGAATACGTGGTAGACTGGCCATCCGAGGGAAACACGTTGTCGCCGTTACACTTCTATTTGCTGGCAGTACGACTTCACCAAAAGACCCCAACATAGTGTAAGCCACATAAAGTATAATGGTGACCACCTGGTTTAAACGCTATTCAAACGACCTCTTCAGGGACATTAGACTTCCACCCATTGTCTGTCTGTCTGTTTTCGACATAGAACTTTGCACCGATGTGCGGCAGTTCATGTCACCACTCCATGTAGCACACAAAGCAAGAGAAGAAAGTAGAAGAAATGCATATTAGAGACAGTAAACAGAGGTGTGAGACAAAGGAATAGTAGTAACGAAGAACGATATAGTTTCATTTGAAATCATAAGTCACAAGGTGTGTATGCATCTGCGTTAGCCTTTGAGAAGGATTTTGAGCCGTATCACCAATTGTTTCTAACCATTGGTTTTTACCGTCCCGAGGACCCCAACCAGGAAGTAAACACCTTCCTACGTGGCTTAGACTAACTGTTGTAGATTTCATTGACTGATGCCAAGTTTTTGTTTGACCTCCGCTAGCTTTATTCCAGCCTGACCCTATATCCGCTAACATTGCTCGTCGAGGGAGGCGATGGCTTGGCATACGTAACACATGTCCTAACCATCTCAGTCTTTGTAGCTTCACGACTTCGTCGATTGATTTCCCCTGTTTACCTAGAACTCGACGCCTGACCTCAGTATTGCTCACCTTATTATGCCACTTCACATGGGAGATAGAGCGCAGGCACCTATGATCAAACATAGCTAGTCTTTCCATTCACCCCACTCTCAATGGCCATGTCACGCTCACAGCCATAAAGGAGGACGGAGCGGACTTCTGAGCAGTACACTCGATAGCCGGATATCACGTCTACGCCAGAGACGGCGTAAACTGGCATATGCGAAACTAGCTCTCTGTATCCGTGGTGAGATTTCGTCAGAGATCAACCCGTTGGCACTGGCTGATGGTACTTCCCAAATAAGAGAAGCGGTCAACGTGCTCTACCACTTCACTTCCGATTTTTAAACTAAGAGTCGCTGTAGTCCAGTCCTGTACCATCATCTTGCATTTGGCGGGAGCGAATCGCATGCCAAACATTCGTAGATTGCAGCTCAAGGTGTACGCCGTTAGGTCATTAGGACATGCAAGTCCGGCCACCACGTCAAGGTATCACCTATCGATCGGGCACATCACTTATATTTGTTAATGAAGGATACTTCAAATATTTCACGGAGAAAGTTAATTGGACTCTATAATTACCATGAAACTAATGACGAAGTGGCTAAGACTTTGGCTTTGAACTGTAGATGTTCGTGGTTTCCAAGATGACAATAAACACGGAACACCTCTGCACTATTATAAATGTTAATCAGTAGTAGTTTTATACGCAAACGCAAAACGAATGAAAATTTAATAACTCTTACTTGCAATTGATCTTCTAATCCTTTTGATTGTTCTTCATATAGGTCAGGAGCATCTTGAGACTTCCAAAGCCATGAAATATACTGTTGATAAGCTACATAACCTTTATCATTTCGACAAGCACCAGTCAGCATAACTTGTATATTAAGCTGTAAAATCGATAATTAACATGTATATTAAAAGATAAACTAGTGACTTAAGCAAAAGTGACGACAGCACTATAGGTGTGTGTGTGCGCATGTATGTGACGAAAAAAAAGTGAAGTGAAATAATAATCGTAAAATTAAAGCTATTTTTCTTAAAAAGTAACTAACTAATGAAATCGATTAGGATAACTTGCTTCTTTTTTAGTAGAAAGCCTGAGTTGGGCACTGAGTTCAACGTAAGAAAGGAAAAAGATAAGTTATCAGGTTAAATTTAACGTCTTAATTGAATGTGAGATAACGAATCTTTTTACGTCTGTCTGTCTGCCTGGATTCAACATAGAACTTAGCACCGAAGTGCAGCAGTTCGGGTTGCCGCGTTCCAAATAGCACACAGAGGTAGACAAGAAGATGAGTGAAGAGAATCAACAGAGTTTGACAAGTATAAGAGTGAAACAGAATGGGTAATGGTAGAAAGGAATATGAAAGATTACAGAGACTGAATACATCTGCGCCATTGACAACGATTTTGAGCCATGTCACCTATTGTCTCCAGCCATTGATTCCTAGAGTCCCGAGGGCCCCAACCCGGAAGTCTGCATCTCCCTACCTGACTCAGTTTAACTGTCAAGGATTTCATGGATTGATGAGGCCATGTTTTTGTTTGGCCACCACTTGCTCTTTTCCAACCTGCACCTATATCAGCTAGCAATGCCCGTCGGGGGAGGCGGTGGTTAGGCATGCGCAGCACGTGACCTAGCCATCTTAGTCTATGTAACTTTATAGCCTCGTCGATTGATTTTCCCTCTTTGCCCAACACTCTACGCCTAACGTCAACATTACTTACCTTGTGAAACCACCTAACGTGAGACAGAGATCGCAGACATCTATGATCGAAAGCAGTCAACCTTTTCATGTCTTCAACGCGTATTGGCCATGTTTCAGAGCCATAGAGAAGGACGGAGCGAACTGATGAGCAGTACACACGTCCCTTGGTTGATAACCGGATGTCACGCCTACGCCAGAGATGGTGTAAGTCAGCGAAAGCAGCTCGAGCTTTTCGGATCCGTGCTGAGATTTCATCGCCAATCAGTCCGTTGGTGCTAATACAACTTCCCAAATAGGTGAAGTGGTCAACATGTTCTATCACTTCACTCCCTATCACTAAGTTAGGAGTTGACGTGGTCCAGTCCTGTAGCAGCATCTTACATTTTGTAGGGGCGAATCGCATGCCAAACATACGAAGATTGCTGCTCAAGGTGTTCAGAAGACTCTGCATTTTGTCAGCATCCTCCCCTAACAGGACTATGTCATCTGCATATTCTAAGTCCATAAGACTATTCCCTGGTAACAAGTCGATTCCTAAGTCATTACGTTCAGTTAAGGATACTTCCATCAGCATATCTATGATGAAGTTAAACAGAAATGGGGAAAGTGGACATCCCTGTCGGACACCACTGGTTGTTACCAATTCAGATGACAATTCCCCATAAGCCCTTACACGACTACGTGAGTTTGAATAGAGTGCCTTGATTAGTGCAATGTACTTTCTTGGCACTCCCTTCACAGTCAGACATTGCCATAGTACCTTTCGATCCACGGAGTCGAAGGCCGCCTTCAAGTCAAGAAATATGACAATTGTTGGACGCCGAAAAGTGTGTCTATGTTCTAGAATCTGTCGAAGAGTGAAGATATGATCTATGCACCCTCTACCTGGTCTAAAGCCTGCTTGATTTTCCCTTGTCTGTTCCTCCCGAGTTCTGCTTAGTCTATGCATGATTACTGAGCCTAGGATTTTAGAGACTATGTTCGTTAGGCTGATCCCCCTATGATTATCACACGAGGACTTGTTTCCCTTCTTGAATATCGGTATAATAAGTGACTTACCCCAGTCTGATGGCACTGTCTCTGATTCCCAGACTTTGCCTAGTACCTCAGTTAATCTACAAACTAGTATGTCACCCCCATATTTAAACACCTCCGGAATAATTCCGTCGGGTCCTGCCGCTTTGCCTCGTTTCAAATTACTGATAGCTTTTGTGACCTCACTTACAGACGGCGGACCAGTGTCTATATCCCATTCGGGTGTGTGCTGGATGTTGGGGAGGTTCAGTGTGGCTGTAGGCAAGTTAAATTGTCCTCAAAGTGTTCTTTCCAGCGTTCAAGGCGTCTATCCTGAGAGCTAATTAAGGAGCCATTTTTCTCAGAAATAGTCTCACTTATGATTTGCCTTCTCCCACCCGTTTCCCTGATGAGTCTAAAGAGTTGCCTAGTGTTGCCTATCGCCGATGCTTTTTCCATCTCTTTTGCCTTTGTCAGCCACCACTGTTCACGGTCCTTGCGGAGACTTTTAGTAAGTTTCCTTTTGTGCAGCTTTCGCTCCTCATTGAATTCGGAGCTCGCCGGAATAAGTCTTCTAGCATCTATCAGTTCGGATGAGGCAGTCGAAATCCAGTGGTTTTTACTCACCTTTGGATTTACCTTATTCACAGCTTTTACAGCTGTATCTATGGCTGACTGAATATTCTTCCAGGCTTCTCCAGGGTGAGCACAGCTGTCGAACTCAGATATGCGTTTAGCTAGTTCTTCCTCAAATAGGGATTTAGTTTCCTGATCGAGCTGGGGACGTGATGGTTTTACCGCCAGCTGTTTCCTACGTCCGTTCAGTCGTAAGCACACACGAGCCCGGACCAGTGCGTGATCGGTATCTACACACGTGTTCCAGAAGGAGCGACAATCTCCTACCGACCCACGCCAACGATAGCTTATTGCTATGTGGTCTATTTGTGTCCAGCGTTGGTTTGATGATGGGGGTCGCCAGGTTAAACAGTGTCTCTCCTTGTGTTTAAAGTTAGTGCTTACAAGAAACAAATGATTATCAGAACAGAACTGTAGGAGACGGTCACCGTTGTCGGTTCGCTGGCACGGAACTCCATAGGTGCCACCGACATCCTTCTCAGATTGACACAATTTCCCTACTTGAGCATTAAAGTCACCAGCTAGAACGACTATATCTGAGCGTTTAGCCTTTCGCACCAAACTAGACAGCTTTTGGTAGAACTCATCCTTCGTTTCATCCGAACTGCAGTCAGTGGGGGCGTAGGCGGAGATTACGAAAAGGCATCGGCGAGTAGTGCAGTCCTTTCTCCTTCTTACTGATCCGTTCAGACGGACAGCACACATTCGGCTATCTACCGGGATCCAGTCAAGTAATGTCTTTTCTGCCCTAGTACTCAAAGCTATCCCTACGCCAGCTAATCCTCGTGAACTGGCTGTGGCATCTCCTGACACCCTCAAGGTGAATTTTGAAGATTCATCCTGTTGGCCAGGTGGGGTTAGGTGAATAACCACACTTGGGTCTTGTATGCGTGTTTCTGAAACACAACATACATCAATGGCTCGGATGCCAGGGTCTTAGCTAGTGATGCTTGTTGTCCTTTTTGGCAAAGTGTCCTAACATTAAATGCTCCTATATGAAATTGGTGGCGTGGCTTTCTGACTGTCTGTTTTCGACATAGGACTTTGCACAAATGTGCGGCAGTTCAAGTCGCCTGGTGGCTTCAAGTGGCATGGCTTTAGGAGACTACCGGTGGTTTTTTGGCTTCCGTCGTTTTTAGTGGACATAGAGTGAAGAGGGAGTGAGGAGCCATCAAGTAGGGTAATTGTATCAGTGGGAGGAAGGCAAGGCAATGGAGATGAAGATGAAGGATATATAAAGTTCAGAAATACGTCAACAAACGGGTAAGTCATTGATTATTGAGTTGAAGAGTAAACAAGAAAATAAAATGAAAGATAGAATGATTTTGAATGAGTGGTCAAAAAAAAACATCAGTTGATGTTAATACCTATATACATGCATATTACTCAGCAATTTCATGCATATGTCTTATTTCCCACAAATTGGAAGATATGCAAGTGAAAAGTAGCAACAAGTTGGCAGAAGCATCCACAGAAGATAGGACTTCAGGTGAACATAGAGAAAAGAGAAGTGATGAAGATTCCTGGTCAATAGCAACAGCAACAACAGACAACAATCAGCATAAGTTAGAGAAATCTGAAAGAAGCAACCTCCCTTACCTACCTACCTGGGAAGCATAGTTTCAACTACAGACAGACGGAACTGATGAGGTTGCCGGGAAAGCAAGGCAAGCTTTCGTTACTCTCAAGTCTGTGAGGAAATCAACAGCACTCAGCATGAAAAACAAGATCCGGATTTTCAATTCCATTGCGAAGTCAAAGCTACTATGCAGATCAGGGACTTGTAGTCGCGTCACGAAGGCCACTTCGAACAAACTACATACATTCATCAACAGCTGTCTTCGCTCATTACTACTCAAGATCAGATGGCCGGCCAGAAAAGATCAGCAACAGGGATCTCTGGGAGCGAACCAACCGGGAACCAACTGTGCAACAAATATGCAGGAAGAAATGGAGGTGCATTGGCCATACTCTGAGAAAACCATCTAGTGACATCACATGTCACGTTCTCTCTCAAGTGGAACCCGAATGGTAAGCGGCAAGTTGATCGAAAGTGCGAGGGTGACATGGAGATCATACGAAGAGGAGATGAAAGCACGTTGGCAGACGTGGAGCCAGGTGAAAACGTTCACAGAGAACCGAACGCAATGGAGACGTGAGGCTGAAGCCCTATGTTCCTCTAGGAACTAAAGGAGACAATAATAATAAATAATTCTAATTAGTGTGTGCCAACTGATTCCCTCATTCAACTGGGTATCTGCACTTTACATTAGGAAAAAAATGCTCCTAATAACTGACACGTGTTACCTTTGGTGAACTCTTTTTGGTTAGGTAGATAGCTGAACGCCTACTACAGTTTTGACGTGTATGTGCAGACTTTCATCTATTCGGCACACATGATATGAGGTAATTATTAATAGTATATTATTGATTTAGTGATAAGAAACGAGGTACATGAGTGAAAAATACGAGGTTGTATATCACTAGTTACATAGAGGGTATAAATAGTTTCTAGGCTCTGACTTCCTATCAATTATACGCTTTTCGACTGCATTACTTTAGATTTTAGAAATTAATGATTGGAGAATTTAGACTACATAGTATAAATCTCATCGTATAAACCTTAAAATAAAATATATATAGTATTAAGCTTGCTGTATGCAGTAAAATTATTTATTTTCTCGTTTTGCTTACATTTACAAAGGTGCAACACGTTTTACATGTTTGTGTCGATTAATGCTAGTTGTGTCTTTGATAATACAAATTAAAGGAATACAACATGAACCCTTTAAAATAATGCTCACTTGAAATTCCTTTTAACTCTTTTACTCAGAAAAAGAGGTTATTGATTTATTACCCATAGTTGTATGTGCATATCTATCTCAACACAATATAGTAATTATCTTGACAGAATGACTTATCGCGCTCCTGTAAACTTAGAATTCACAGGTGTTTTGAAGGGTTTGTAATTTTAAGTGATGCTTTCTTGAAGACAAGAAAAAACTTCCTAGGGGATTTTTTTTTAACAAGATAGAATGTTTCCTATTTTGTGACGGGTGTCTAACTGATTAAAATCGCAGAGAATGTAACTGGTACATTGTCTGTCTTAAATTTCGAAAAAAACAAAATATTGTATGACCATTTTGAAATCTATTGCAATGCCAAATTGGTTGTCTTTTGAGTTGGCAAAACAAACAATCATAAAACGTTAAAGTCTGCGAAGTTTAGACAGGAATTCAACTGTAATCATTTAAAACAAGGTACAGAGCTTGTCAAAATAAGACAAGTATTCAAACTAATGCTTACCTTGAAAAATCGGTGAATGACACGCTGATGACTTTTTGGTAATACTGGATAACCTTTCGCATTTGTTAAAAACAGATCTGTGTGAACCAACAAACACACTATAGGTTCGCTGAACCATCTTGAAATTACTAATTCATCTGGCAAGTCCTTCGGTAATTCAAGGACAACGCCAAGAGCATCTGTGATATCAGCCGTCAAAGTAGATAAATTGAACCACCAGTGCCAAGGAGAAAGAGATAGTTTGTCTTCTGTGATTAATTCACCATTTCTATTATCATCTATCAGAATAAACAAGATTTGAAAATGCAACGGTAAGAAAGACCAATGTGACGTCTTGAAAATACATGGTATGTTTCAAAAATGAGAGATCTACAAGTACGTATATTGACAGATAAAAGAATACCATGTACGAATTCATAAGTTCTGATTTAAAAATTCTGTTTTATAAAGCCACTACAGTTCCACTGAAAATTGTTGCATGAGACCACGAAGTGGTTTGCTTTAGAAGTTCTGGTTTTGTTTACACAGACGACGTTCATTACGAACAGTTGATCGGATATTAAACAATTATTATCTGAAAACGGAAACTATGTAGTCCTGTTTATGGTAGTCATCCTAGCAGTTAGAGACCTAACCTAAATAAAAACAGTTGATGTGTTGTGATTTAGCTCTTTGAATTATGACACAACTGTCTTGCCGAACTAACGTGCTAAAGATACTCAGAGTACGGTTCTATTGCATTTACAGACACACTACTCTCATAAATATAAGCCAGGTTTTATCTCTTGAGTACATTCATGTAAGTGGTTACAGTAAAAATAAACGAAGTGTTATAATGTGATTGATTAGTCAAAACATATATGGTTGTTACAATGTAGAGAACGGTTTAAGGCAAATGTCACTGCGATGGATTTTATGCCACCACTATAGCTAATGAACTAATGCCAACCCAAAAGCAGAAAGTTGGCTACATTACTTATACTGGCACTTTATGTTTTCGTTTAAACTTGGTTCACGGGACAAGTCTCAGGCCGTGAGCCAGACACGTGAGAGCTGATAATACTACCGACTCTTCTAAGCTTAAGTAGATAGTGTAGGATTTGAACACAAGGCACTACCTGGAAATCAAATCATATGCTACTATCTAGATGACCAAACCCATAGAGATGGAGTAGGGTCCTCACATGAAGCCTAAAAGTCTGACACTAAACTAACGAAATAGCTTCAAAGTATGATCAGCTAACTGTTTAAATATTGGATGCGTTCAACAGGGTCTGGAACTTTCTTTATGGTATAGTACTGTATGCGTTTGATATAGACATTAACCAGTGGGTTACACAGCATTCAGACGATAAATCTAGGGAATTACCGAAGACAGCTAAATAACATAAAGTAAAAAAATTATAGGTGGGATTTCTGGGGAGGTCATTCGGTAATTACTCTCGAGTCAAGAACTATGTGTTAAAACACCAAACTCTAGAATCAACGATTTGAAGTTTCGAGGGTGAATTTCCCACGTTTTTGCGAGTACGGTCATCTGAAAATTTCAAGCAGTTCACAACTAATTTGAACATTAACTAATTACATGTGCAGACTATTCAGAAAGCAAAGCTAAAAAAAGCAATTTGAACTTTCACTTACCTCCAGAGGGATCCAAAATTTCATTTGTCATCGGAAATACTAGCCATATCTTTCAAAGTGTTAACTACAACAAAATAAGTACCTTAATAGGAATATATTCTCCACGTATGAAATTTATGAGCAGCCGCGCTAGATTAGGATTGAATGGACGACTGACTCTGATGCTAACAGCAGGAAGGCCAAGATGTGCAGCCCAACTAAGTTCCCTCATTAATGACTTGGAACTAGATTCACGAATACGAACGATATTTGAATCGACGTCTATATTTGCCGACACCTTACCAACGATAGATTTCGTGATACTTTTCCCTAAGGTATCTTGAGAGTCAAATTGCTTCTTACCATCTTTTTCATACACCAGGTCGGAACGAGGGATATGACTAGGGGGACAACCAGTAAGATTTTCTTCATGAATAAGTTTGGGATGAAATAAATCCACACAAAGAAACGAATACCTGGTAATAATATAGGCAAAATTTTATTACCCTGAAGACAGCGCAGAGGAATACTGTGAGGACAGGTCGTTGGTGAAAACCAGTTCAATACCCACTAGTGCTTCAGAAGCCATATGTGCAACACGTCCAAACCACGCGAAGGTCAAAACAACCACCCTGACCTCTTGAAGGTCAACTGAAGCTTACAGTGAAAATCGAAGGTAATGTATAACAACTGCTATTTTGAATAATTTAAAGAAAAATGATCCGATATCTCTATTAGACATATTTTTCGAGTTTCCTATGTATACAGTAAGGACTAGTGTAATAGAAAAGCATAGACAAAAATATCAAATACGCTGGGATAATACGTGAAAAGCAGAAGACAGACCCGGATTGAAACACTTTAAAATTACCTTCTCACTAGAAGAAGAAGTCAGAGTTATGCAAAACAGAAAATCTAGGCTATAACTTTTCAGCGACCACCAGGTTTTCAACTGACGACTTCTTTTGAATTCGACCCACTACACAACCCCCTCACTTCAAAAAAGCTGTCCTCAGCGACTTCCGTCTTCGGTTCTCCCCGCCGCCTAATCATCCCTGCAAGAGAAAGAGATACATGGTTATTATGACTATCAATAAAAGGCGGAGTGTTCCTTGGTGCCTGTTTCAAACGGTTGAAGTGCACTACCATTCTCTGAGCATTGTTGTTGTCTTCTTGGATTCCGTATGTATTGTCGGTTGCTCTGCGGTACACCACATATGGACCTCCCCACTGTGCTTGAGCTCCAGTTGTCAGTCCCTGGTTGATGCGGTCACACCTTATCACCTATTTCGAATGGTGTTCACCACTGCTTCTTACCATAGTAATGTTTCTGACGTTCTTGTGCTTTTTTGGTTTCTTTGGGTGCATAAATATGGTCGTTAGTTATGTTTCTTCCCGACCTTGTTACCATTTCTGATGCAGTCATTGGATCATCCCAGCAGGGCATAACCAATGTATCACTAGGCAGGAGTAACTCGCGACCAGTCTATAACAGGTGTCGTGTCTTCTCCGTCGACATTTTTTTATTTTTTTTTATTTACAGCTTGATTCCACACTGTTTTTTGGTACAAGTATGGAATTTTCAGCATGGATATCGGTAGCCCAAATTTTTCAGGCCAACCATAGATATCAGGTGTGCGCCGGCGTAGGCTCGAACCCCGGACCATGTGCATGGTCGGTGAGAGTCCTAACCACTGTGCCACCGACGTACACATGTGGATGCTTCCTCGGTAGGCTAGCAAGCACCTTGGTAACATGATGTGCCAGGCTGATTCAGCTTCTCTTTCTCTTACTAAAAATACTCATAGTAATGGTTTCAAAATCCAATTGGTGCGCTGCACTAACCCATTGCCTTCGGGATGGTATGCCGTGGTTCTTGACTTTTTCATTCCAAATAGATGACACAATTCTCTAAACAAGGGACTTTCGAAGTTGGTTCATTTATCAGGACGTAATCGCTCTTGTGCGCCCCAACGGGCAATCCAACAATCAAATATAGCTTTGGCTACCGCAGAAGCATCAGTTCGCTGAAGAGGTACAGTTTCATCCCATTTCGTAAACTAATCGACCATGACTAAGATGTATTTGTTGCCAGGGGTGGTTTCACGTAGCAGCCCTAAGATGTCCACGCCGATTACTTCGTTGGGATATCCAGCCTTTATATTAATAAGTGGCGCTCTAGGTTTCCTCTGTGGGTTCTTTACCTTGTCACATGTTGCACACCCCTCGACAAAGTCCCGGGCATCGCGCCGCTGGCGAGGACACCAATAACGTTGGGCGACTGCTTGCGGCATGTTATTAATTCCAGCGTGTTCCAAGTCATGATGCACCTTCTCCAGGATTCTTGCTACAAACGATTGAGGGACTAAGACTCTTCTCAAGTAACTGTAGCCAGGTTGAACACACAGAATAACATTCACAAGCACTGACTGGTCCCTCAAGGCCTACAAGCATCTCATCTCCTAGCCTTTCCTTTCACATCAGCTTCGACCGATTCACCAATCTGATTTGAAAAGGCGTGATATAGGAGCGCAGTCTCATCGTCTGTAGCCTGAGTATGTGCTCACTGTTCCCTACTTAGGCCTGCCAACGAAATAGCATGAGTATCAACGCTCTAGCCGGACAGGCAGTCTCCGTGCTCTCAGAAGGAACGTCTGGATAACGCATCAGCATTGATATACCGCTTGGCAGGACGGTGTACACGTTCAAAGTCGTATTCCTGGGGGTATTCCTGCCACCTTGAGATCTGTCCTTCAGGGTCCTTGAGGTTTTGCAACCACTGAAGAGTTCTGTAACTCGTTCACAGTACAAACGGCTCACCAAGTAAATAGGGTCGATGCCTGCGGATGAAGGTAACGACAGCCAGCATTTCTTCTGTGGTAATGCAGTAGTTCTTTTCTGCATGGCTCAACGTGCAGCTGCCATATTCGATAACATGCTCCTCGCCGTCCCCATCAACCTGGAACAATACCGTCCAATGGATATGCATCTAGCGTCCGTGTCCGAGATGAACTTACTGGCTGTTGTGGGGACATATCTGGGAATGCTAAAGTGGGCGCCAAAGCATGACGAATCTTTCAACTGCTGAACAGCGTGGTCACAACCTTCGTCCATACGAAGGAAACATTTTTTCCAGTCAGCCCTTTTAAAGGGCTAGGGATTTCTGAGTAGTTTCTCACGAAACGGTGCTAGTAAGAAGCTAAACCCTAGAAACTGGGTAGCTCATTCAAGGATTGGGGTATGGAGCGCAATCACTGGAAAAGTAGGGTGTTGGATAGCTGTCGTTCCCCCAAGGTCAGGTGGCGACCACGAGAACACCTCAGAAAAATCCAAAATTAAACGATGTACAGCCACTTTGTGCTCTCTAGGAAATTTCGCTAAAATGTTTTACAGCAAGACATTATCAACAGTAATCACACTCAACCGCAGAAAACGAGAAATATTCTCCGAAACATGTAGTAATGTAAAACACAATATGGTGATCATTTAGGATTCAGTATCGACTGAGGCCTCACAACTACTTGGTAGGTCATAGCCCATGACCAAAACCCATGACGATCCACTAATTACTAGACAGGGATGCCACATGTGATCGCGTTTACATTCCCACAATACTAGCAGCTTGCTAGTTGCTCTCATATCTTGTGTCAGTGAAAAATTATAAATGTCCCTACTCCATGCATATGTTGCTTTTCATATTCATGATGCCCGTAAACTGGCGTCCCTCATGTACATAAAGTGAGAACATATTATCATTATTATTAATACCAATACTTTTGGTGGGGCCCGGTGGTCATCCACTTTGGACCTAGCTTCCGGTTATTGGTAGGTAGACATCCGTCCTGAAGACCAACCCAAGATCGCTCTGATCGTGCCTGCTGGATTATATGAATTCAAATCTATGCTATTTGGCCACTCGAATACTCAGTTACGTTCCAAAAGCTCATGCAGACGATGCCTGCAGGTTTAGTCCCTAAACAGTGCCTCATCTGCCTGGTATCACCGTAATCGGGCAGTCGATTGAAAAACCCCATATCATGAGCCGCGTTCAACGGTCACACGAGGGGAACCTTAAAGTGAAAGCCTCTAAGTGTCATTTCCTGAAGAAGTCTGTCACATTCCTTGGTCACGAGATTACTCCACAAGGAGTTAGAATAAAAATTGACAGCAGACGTACACGGTTTTATGGAGCTTGCTTCATAGTTCCATTGTTTCATTCACAATTTCTTCAGTACAGCAGCACACCTCATGGGAAAACATAAAAGGGACGGAAATTCGCTTGGACTAACGGGCGCCAGGTGTCATTTAACACGCTTAAAACATGTTTAACTTCTCCCCCTGTTTTAGCGTTTCCACACAGATTGCCTAACAGCAGCCCCATTATCCTGGATACTGACGCCAGTACGCAGACGATAGGTGCTGTCCTCTCACGGGTGAGGCCTGAATGAAAGGTGGGAATAGTAGCATACGCTAGCCAGACGCTGGACAAGAGAGAGACACGGTATTCCATGACCCACCATAAGATATTAACCATCGTGCATATTCTCAGTTACTTTGGCCATTATTTATTGCAGAACAAACCTCGGGTACGGACGGAATTCAAAGCGTTGTGGTGGCTGTGGAATTTTCATGGTGTAGAAGGCCAAATTGCTCACTGGCAAGAACTTCTACAGGAGTTTGATTTCACTTGTGAATATTGTCCGGAATAGCAACATGCAAATGCCGATGCCCTTTCCTGCCTTGTTTTGTACCCACAGTAAGTGCATTGCTCTGTACATCATTAGATATTGAGTGGGTGTATCTGCAAGCGGCTGACGTGGACGTACAACCCGCCTACTTACGACAACAGCACGGAAACAGTGAACCGACGTAGGGGAATTAAGAGATCTGTCAGCTGCTACGCGGTGCATATTTGGGGTCTGCTTCGCCTATAAGATGGTGTTCTCTACTTAGTGGAACAGAATTCAAATCTACACCTCCTAGTTCCAAGCGTTAAAGTACGGGGGCTCATCAGCCAAGTACGTCACCAACTTGGTCATACTAATCGGCATAAAACGGAACACGCCATCCTTCGGCGCTTCTATTGGGCGTTACTTCATTGGGATGTGGCCGGGTTCCGCCAAAACTTTGACCTCTGTAGCCGGAATAAGTAGTCCACACAGACTCCCAGAGCACCTCTTATACCCCTGTTAACCGAAACATCGAATTGGCGCGTCAGCATTGATGTAATGCAGCCACTTCCAATCTCAAAAATAGGTAACCGATACATCTTGGTGACGGTTGACAATTTTACAAAATGGTGTGAGGAGGTGCCTCTGCGACAACAGGATGCGATCGGTTTGACCAGGGCATTTATTAGCAAATGGATTATTATTATTGCATTCCGATCAGGGTGCTGCTTTCGAGAGCTAACTTGTCCATCACATATACGTCCGTTGAAGTTCAGGTGCCACCTTACTCTTTGAACAAATTGACCATGTTACTTATGTTTGGAAGTTACGCAACCGTTTGGCAATCGCTCATGAACTGGCGTGCACCCTATAACAGTCATCCAGCTATCATCAGGAGAATATATACGATCGTCTTGTT